TCATTATCTCATAATTATCTTTAAAAATGGAATAGTAATTTTCCCTGGAAAAGCAAAATGTAATGGGTGAAAAAACTCACTCCTTTCTTTTATAGAAAGAACATAATAAGGTGTTTCTTTGTCTGTTTTTCAAAGAGAACATTTCTATATGAGTGAACAGAGAGGAAGGGAGTGTCGGACTTAATTTTTTTGGGCTCCAAAGTCACTGCAGATGGTGATTGCAGCCATGAAATTAAAAGACGCTTACTCCTTGGAAGGAAAGTTATGACCAACCTAGAAAGCATATTAAAAAGCAGAGACATTACTTTGCCAACAAAGGTCCATCTAGTCAAGGCTGTGGTTTTTCCAGTGGTCATGTATGGATGTGAGAGTTGGACTATAAAGAAAGCTGAGCGCCGAAAAATTGATGCTTTTGAACTGTGGTGTTGGAGGAGACTCTTGAGAGTCCCTTGGACTGCAAGGCGATCCAGCCAGTCCATCCTAAAGGAGATCAGTCCTGGGTGTTCATTGGAAGGACTGATGTTGAAGCTGCAACTCCAATACTTTGGCCACCTCGTGTGAAGGTGGAAAAGACCCTCATTGGAAAAGACCCTGATGCTGGGAGGGATTGGGGGCAGGAGGAGAAGGGGATGACAGAGGATGAGATGGCTGGATGGCATCACTAACTCGATGGGCATGAGTTTGAGTAAACTCCGGGAGTTTGTGATGGACTGGGAGGCCTGGCGTGCTGTGATTCATGGGGTCACAAAGAGTCGGACATGACTGAGCGACTGAACTGACTGACTGACTGGTAAAAAGGATTAGTATTAGTATACAAGGTGAGTCTATTTTAAAATGCTTCTAGTTAATAAACACACATCAGTTCAGTCATTCACACATAAATTGAACAAATAATTCTTGAGTTTTAAAAATTTGATGTTGCAAAGGAATACATATATTTCTTTATGCTCATTGTATATGTGCATTTGTATTTTAAATAGCTTAATTTAAAGCTATTGTGATTTTGGTTTTAATGTCCCATGAAAGATAGTACTGTATCACCTCAATACTTTGATGGAAAGAGCATAAATCACCCGAGACCTTAAATTTAAGTGAAAAATAATGCTTAAAAAATAGTTACCTAAACAATTTCAAGAAAAAACACTAACACAGCTAAAAGAATTCTATATAAAATTCTTCTGGATTTACTTTTAAGAAGTAGATGCTTATTTGTTAAATTCCAATTATTACTTTGAAAGGGATTCTTCTAAAACCTTTATGTTCTTGGATAAGTAGTCCCTTGAATTTTATTAATATTGATAATTTCTTATGGGTTCATTTATTTCTATCTTGCCTAGTTTCAAATTACAAATTATGAAGAAAGTTGAATGACTTGATGTAACCATAGTCTTTATGCACTGACTCTGGCACAAATAGAAACAGCATTTTATATGTCAGTGAATGTTTACTACTTTTGTGTTTATAAAGAATGATTCATTTTATTAAGTATTTATCACTGGAAACAATTAACTACAAGTTAATATAAATTGATAAAAATAATTGCAATATTTTAATTGTATGTTTTAAATTTTATTTATTTTTTTATTGAAGGATAATTGCTTTACAGAGTTTTGTTGTTTTCTGTCAAACCTCAACATGAATCAGCCATAGGTATACATATATCCCCTCCCTTTTGAACCTCCCTCCCATCTCCCTCCCCATCCCACCCCTCTAGGTTGATACAGAGCCCCATTTGAGCTTCCTGAGCCATTCAGCAAATTCCTGTTGGCTATCTATTTTACACATGGTAATGTAAGTTTCCATGTTACAATTTCCATACATCTCACCCTCTCCTCCTGTCTCCCCATGTCCACAAATCTATTCTCTCTGTCTGTCTCTCCATTGCTGCCCTATAAGTAAATTCTTAAGTACCATTTTTCTAGATTCTGTATATATGCTTTAGAATACAATATTTATCTTTCTCTTTCTGACTTACTTCACTCTGTATAATGGGTTCTAGGTTCATCCACCTCATTAGAACTGACTTAAAGGCATTCCTTTTATGGATGAGTAATATTCCATTGTGTATATATACCACAACTTCTTTATCCATTCATCTGTTGATGGACATCTAGGTGCTTCCATGTTCTAGCTATTGTAAATAGTGGTGCAGTGAACAATGGGATACATGTGTCTTTTTCAATTTTGGCTTCCTCAGGGTGTATGCCTAGGCGTGGGAATGCTGGATTGTATGGTGGTTTTAGTCCCAGGTTTTTAAGGAGTCTCCATACCATCTTCCATAGTGGCTGTATCAATTTACATTCCCACCAACAGTGTAAGAGTGTTCCCTTTTCTCCACACCCTCTCCAGCATATATTGTTTGTAGAGTTTTTGATGATGGCCATTCAGACCAGTGTGAGGTGATATCTCATTGCAATTTTGATTTGCATTTCTCTAATAATGAGCGATGTTGAGCATCTTTTCATGTGTTTGTTAGCCATCTGCATGTCTTCTTTGGAGAAATGTCTGTTTAGGTCTTTTCCCCACTTTTTGATGGGGTTGTTTGTTTTTCTGGTATTGAGTTGTATGAGCTGCTTGTATATTTTGGAAATTAGTCCTTTGTCAGTTGTTTTATTTGCCATTATTTTCTCCCATTCTGAGGGTTGTCTTTTCACAGGAAGGAAGAAGAAAGACAGTAGATTGTAACAAAGGGTACCAAAACTTCTGTCTACCAGTTAAGAACAAAACTAACTAAAGCACAAACTGTAAAACAAAACTAAAGCAAGTTTCCAGTTGGGAAATAAAACAATGAAAATAAAACTAACAAATATGTTGAGAGGAAAGGGAAGAAAGAAAAGAAAAGAAAGACTCGATATGCAAAGTTAAATAGAGGTAAAGAATATTTATATACATTAAAGGTAACTACAAGGCGAAAAGAACAGTAAGAAAAGCAAACAAAAGAATAAATGTAGAAAAAATAATGATAGGTTTAAAAAATTAAGGATTAAAATTTAAAAAAAAATAAAAAAGAAAACTCAACAGAACTACAAAAGCCCAACATAGAGGCAGAGATTTATAACAACAGTAAAAAAAAATGTGACTGAGGAAAAAAAAAAGCTCAAAAACTTAATTAGATTTCATAGTGCCAATAAAGTCGACAACTACAACATATGGTGGGGAGGAAGGAAAGAGAAAGAAAAAAAAATCTGAAAGAATTTACAGAACAAATCAAAACATAAGAATAATAAATGTTTTTCTTGAGTCTCTGCTGTCAGAGTCCTTTCACTTGCTGGGAGTCACAGTCCCCCTCACCTCCCTAGGATGCCCTTCAACTGGACTGATCTCTAGACCTGCTGTGGGGGCAGCTCAGATTCTAATCTGGTCCTGCTCCTCTGTGTTGTTTCCTCCAATGTCCACAGCTATCAGAACTAGTGCATTTTATTTTGTGGGCGCTCTCAATGTCCTCTTACATATTCCGTAGACACAGAATCTGCCTAGTTGATCGTGTTGATTTAATCTGCAGCTTATACAGCCGGTGGGAAGGTTTGGGGTCTTCTTCCTTAGCCACACTGCCCCTGGGTTTCAGTTGTGGTTTTATTTCCACCTCTGCATGTGGGTCGTCCACTGGGGTTTGCTCCTGAGGCTGCCCTGGAGGGCTTGGGTTTGCCCGTGTGAGGGCCAGGTGTGGAGGGGGTGCAGCTGCTTGGGTCGCAGGGGTTCTGGCAGCACCAGGCCCTCAGGGGGTTGGCGGCTAGGGCAGCAGGAAATATATTGTTCTAGAAGGTTATGGCAAGCAGTATTTGTCAGTACACTCCAGTGTTCTCTCCTGGAGAACCCCCTGACAGAGAAGCCTGGCAGGCCACAGTCTACAGGTCCAAAGAGTTGGACACGGCCGAAGCGACCCTGTCTGCATAGACGCAAGAGTTTCTTTTTTGCCTGTGGCAGCTCTGCCCCAGTGAGCATTGAGCATGACGGTGCTGCTTGGCTTGTGGGGACCCCGGCAGCACAACGTGTGCAGGGCCACGGGCTGCCTCCGCTGCAGGAGCTACGGCTGGCCATCAGAAGGCCTCCTTGGCCAGTCTTTCTCCATAGCCCCACCCGTTCAGGCACTTAGAGGGCTCCCTTGCTGGGGCCCTTCTTTGTTGTTCTGGCACATCAGGCGCCTAGAGGGGGGCCCCCTGGCTGGGGCCCCATTCTGTAGATCAGCACGTCAGGCACTTAAAGCAGCAGCCTGGGTGGGTCCTGCTCTGTAGTTCACTGCACCAGGTGTTTGATGGGCCAGACTCTCCATTGTTCGGCTGCCAGTGCTGGCGTGTGGGGGGAGAGAGGGTTTGGTGATGGCTCCACCCGCTTTGCGTGACTCAACAGTATTGTCTTGCTTTCATGACTGCCCAGCTTTCTTCCACAGGCATTTCCCACCACAACCTTCTCCCTCACATCCTCTCAATCCATCTCTCCAAAGTCAACAGCAGCCCTCACCCTGGGATTGCCCCACAATCCCTAAACTCCAGCTCCCGGCTGTGGCGCCTTCCAGGGGACCTGTGTCTCTGTCCAGGGTATATAAGGCTGCAGCAAGGGCTGTCTGATTCCCATTCCATTTAGGCTGCCATGGATCAGCTTCTTCACTTCCAGCCTTAAATGTTTCTCCTCTGACTCAGACAGTTGCCCCGATGTGGGATTGGACCCTTGCTTCAGTTCCCTCACCTGCTGAGGGCATGTCCAGACCCACTAACACTCCTGTTTTTCTCCATAGTTCCTTCATCCTACCGAGTTTCACCTGCTTCTATGTATTCTTTTCCACTGGTATTGGTCCTCCTGTCTGCTCTCAGCTGATGTTCTGCTGATGCAGTTCTGAGTCTGAAGGTGTATTCCTGATGTATCCTTGGAGAGAGATGTGCTCCACGTCCACTTACTGCTCTGCCATCTTGTTCTCTCTGTATGTGTTTTGAGCTTCTTTAATGTCATGTTAATCAAGGAAAAGTAATGGTATTCTAATTGTTACCTTTTATGTTATTTTACAGGTGCATTTTCTTGATTATGAATCAGTACCATTTGGTCAGAAAATGGAAAAGGTAATGCAGATTAGAGAGTTTGCCAAGGAGGCGAAAAAAAGAAATATTTTATTATCTGGCCTTCTCATATATTTCCCGCAGGTAGGTAAAAATGTTGGTAAGATTGTATGTTCTGTAGACTACAGTTTTTTTGGTGGGAACCTTATTTTGTTAAAAGCAAAGAAATATTAATGAAATTTTGGGCTGGAAAATTATTTATCTATTCATGTTCTGAAGCAGTTGGAAACTCTTGATTCTAAGGAAAAATTAACAATCAAAACGAGTGTTTTGATTGGGGGGAAAAGATGAAAATTGGCAAACATCTCATACAGAGTAGCCCACATAGAATTGCCAGATATGGAAACAAAAAAAATGGAATCCCCAATTATTTGAGTTTCAAATAAATATTAATTTTGAGTACATCCCAATTTTGGAGTTTGAAATTTGAATTTCATATTTAACTGGACTTTTGTGTTTAACTGGCAACCCTAAGGTCATGACTCTTAGCCGTTTGTATAATTTAATACATTTATTTCTTTGATGCTGTGCTAAAGATGTTGGTAATCAAGGTTTTAATCACTTGAAAGCGGTGGCTGGCATACAGATTGCATGAGGGCATGGTATTTAACTAAAGAAAAACTCTTATTGTCACTGTCTTTTAATAGACAGTTGCTTGAGCTGAAGGCAAAATGAATTAGTGTTAGAGATGCTTTGTGCAGAGAAATGCTATTTAAATCAAATTGTTTCAAGAATCTGTTAGAGATAATGGATTTGCCCTTTGTCGTGCATAGACACCTTTTATGGAACTAGCAGAATGCTTTATGGTGTCTTAGAGGTGTACCACACAGAACTCAGGGAAGTAAAATAGTCGACTGCTTTTTTCTTTTTTTTTAATGGTCTGGAATAAAAGTGATTGGGTACTGACTGTCCAGGGAATGAGAGGTATTTAAAGTTATATGGTTGATGACTAGCATATATTGTTTATGAAATATTTAAGGTGCCTTTTTAAGCCTGAAGGTAACATTTCTTTTGAAACAAATGGATTTTAGTTAAGTGTAGGGGTCATCTTTTGGCCAATCTCTTGTTTTTCTTTAACTTTGAAGTGGTTTTCCTCTGTTTTCAACCTAGACAGGCATGACCTTCAGTTGGTCACAAGGACATGGCAAAGTTTAGTTCACTTAGGATTGTGGAATTGTAAAATGTTTGTCCTGTAGGGTTCCTGAAGTCAGCACAACCAAGGCCTGAAGAGCTACATGTACTTGCTCAAGGTTATAAAACTGGCAGGGTAAGAATAGGAACTCGGGTCTGTGTCTTCCTTCAGGAATGTTTCCTCTTCAATGTATTGTCTTTGGTTATACTCTGGGTTGTCATGGTGGGAAAAATAAGTTGGTTCTTTCTCTTGTGCCATGCGAGGGTGTCATGGAGGCTCATGACTAATGCTGTGCTTTGCAGATATAAAATAGAGATGACTCAGGGAAACCTTATAAGCAGGGCATGGTGGAGCACACAGTTCTGGAACTCTCTGTCCTGTGACTTGGACTAAGCACAAAGGGTCTGTAGCTGGCATTCCAGGGGAGGGCCTGGTTGCCAGATGAAATAGAACATTAAATTTCAGACAAAAATTATATTTTAGCATAAGTATGTCCCAAATATTACATGGGACATATTTGCACAAAAATTTCTTTGTTGTTATTCTGAATTTCAATTATAATTGGACATCTTCCATTTTTTTTTTGATATCTTCCATTTTTATGTGCTAAACCTGGTGACACTTGTAGAGTGTTTACATAAAAATTACTCATTTTTCCACATGTGACATGTCTATACTTTTATGAACTAGAATCCAGTGAGTATCTATGTGACTCTGTACCTGATTGGAAAAATGGCCTTGTTGAAAAGGAGGAGCCTTTGCAGCCCTCTGCTTAGTATCTGACTGCTCTTTCAGGCAAACTTGGATCTCCTAAGCCAGCTGTCTGCTAAGTTACCAAAAGTAACTTAGAAAAAGATGGTCCTGCAGTGGCTTCAGGATCTGTCTCTCGTTACTTTAGGATGCAAAGATAGCTTACTTTAGCATTGCTTGTCTCTTCTTGACAATATAATAATGAAACGTGAAAATGTTTAAAAGGTAGGATTTACTTTTATCCTTAAATACAGAAATGTGAATTGACTCTTCCTTGCCCAACACATTTTCTAGTGCATAATTCCACCTTAAGGAGCATTTCCAAAAGCTCCTGGGATATTTGTTGGATATGCCATTTGAAAAAGAGCTGTGCTTAAAAAAATTGGGGAAGTGGCAGTGAATAGAGTTGAATAGACTCCTTTAATTAGGGCTTCTCATGAACCTTTAGTATACTGATTTATCATTTCATAACTCCAAACTAGCAACAAGGGCTATACCATTTTCCATTTTCTCCTGTAACACTTAACCGTAGATAAATCATGGGACTAATGTTCCCTAAAAGAGACTTTGAGAAACACTGCTCACAAATACACCATAAGTAAACAAACCACTACTCCTGCACAGTCTTTTTATGTTTCTGTACTAATTTCCCCACTTAATTGAAGCAGAACTTCTAACATCAGATGCCTACTTCACAGTGTAAAGACCAAGGATATGAAGATGTATAAGGCGGAGTTTTTGTTCACTGTTCAGAGAAGAGTGTTGGTTTCTGCTTTCCATGGTGCTGTGAGACACAACTTTTTATAGTATTCATACACTGGACTTTGTTCCCCAAATCTGATTCTGTGCGAGCCGTTGGGTGTTTTGTAGGTAGTTATCATGTATACTTTTAAGTCTCTGAGCAGTTTAAACCTTTCTAGATTTCTTACACTTGTTTTTATAACATTAGCATCAAGTGCTTCTTCTTTGGGTAGGTTTTGGTCTGTTAATAAGCCCCTACTTGGAAGACAGAATATTGAACTGACTTTCTGTATCCGTGTTATATATATATTCTTTCTGGCTTAAAGAAGACCTCCCTTGTTTTGTGTGTGATGCTTCTGGTAATGTAGATGGTCTTGATTTTGGGCCAAACCTTCACAGTGTTGATGTACAAGGTGTTTATATTTAAATAGAATTACATAGGTTTTTTTTTTTTCTTTTTAAACACAAGATGTTCTTAAACCTCTATATTTGTACAGAGTTCTTTTACACACATGTATAGGGCGTTTTGTTGTTGTTCAGTCGCTCAGTTGTGTATGACTCTCTGCAACGCCATGGACTGCAGCACGGCAGGCTTCCCTGTCCTTCACCATCTCCTGGAGCTTGCCCAAGCTCATGTGCATTGGTGCCATCCAACCACCTTGTCCTCTGTTACCCCCTTCTCCTCCTGTCTTCAACCTTTTCCAACATCAGAGTCTTTTCCAATGAGTTGGCTCTTTCCATCAGGTGGCCAGAGTATTGGAGCTTCAGCTTTAGCATCAGTCCTTCCAGTGAATATTCCAATGAATATTCAGGGTTGGTTTCCTCTAGGATTGACTGGTTTGATCTCCTTGCAGTTCAAGAGACTCCCAAGAGTCTTCTACAATACCATAGTTCGAAAGCATCAATTCTTCAGCACTCAGTCTTCTTTATGGTCCAACTCTCACATCCTTACATGACTACTGGAAAAATCATGGCTTTGACTGTGTGTACCTTTCTCAGTAAAGTAATGTCTCTGCTTTAAAACGCTGTCTAAGTTGTCAAAGCTTTTCTTCCAAGGAGCAAGTGTCTTTTAATTTCATGGCCGCAGTCACCATCTGCAGTGATTTTGGAACCCAAAAAATAAATTCTGTCACTGTTTCCATTGTTTCCCCATCTGTTTGCAATGAATTGATGGGACCGGATGCCATAATCTTTGTTTTTTGAATGTTGAGTGTTAAGCCAGCTTTTTCACTCTCCTCTTTCACTTTCATCAAGAGGCTCTTCAGTTCCTCCTTGCTTTCTCCCATAAGGGTGGTGTCATCTGTATATCTGAGGTTATTGATATTTTCCCCAGCAATCTTGATTCCAGCTTGTGCTTCATCCAGTCCAGTATTTCGCATGATGTACTCTACATATAAGTTAAATAAGCAGGGTGACAGTATACAGCTTTGATGAACTTCTTTCCCAACTTGGAACCAGTCTGTTGTTCCATGTCTGTTGCTTCCTGACTTGCATACAGATTTCTCAGGAAGTAGGTCAGGTTTAGCCGGTAATAGACTAGAATGACGGAGAAGGCAATGGCACCCCACTCCAGTGTTCTTGCCTGGAGAATCCCAGCTACCGGGGAGCCTGGTGGGCTGCCGTCTATGGGGTTGCACAGAGTCGGACACGACTGAAGCGCCTTAGCAGCAGCATTAGCCATCTAGAATGTTGATGACCTTTGGTGAGTGAAGAATGGCCATTTGAAAAGGTTTCTCAGGTAACTGAAATGAGGTCTCCTTGTTCACTAAAGACTACTGTTCTAAACACTCAAAAACTTTCAGTATAATAGAGCAGTTATATTGTTAAATATTCTTAGTTGTAAACAAAAAATAATGTTTCATTGATTGTTTACAAGACAGATTTTATAAAGGTATTTTGTAGTTTTACAGAATTTCTCAAGTGTCACAGAACCAAAATTGGACACTCTGTATCCAGGAACAGGGCAGTTGACAGACATGCTCAACCACACTGTGGGACTGTGCTGAGAAAAGTGCCTTCCATTACTACGGGTACATGACATGCTAATGAACCGTGGGTAGAAATGCTACTGTAGCTGATCCAGGAAATGAAAAGGGTTTCCTAGATATAGTCGCCTTGTTTCTAGTGCCACTTCCACATTTTAAGTCTCTTCATGTGTATAACAGTACCTATTGCATTCAGATACTATAGAATCTGGGGAAATGTAGTTTGGTTTTTTACTCTGCAGTCGCTATTGCATAGAAATGAAAGCTTGATTATGGTTAGGGCAGGCATTGCTTGAGCCACTTTGTAGTATCAGCTCCATCTATGTCATATGGAGTCTTGTCTTAGATTGAAATGAAATCAAAGAGAGCACCATTAGCGAGTTGTCTTTACATTCAAGAGCTTGGTATTTGTCTCTATGAAGGCTTTCCATATGGTGTCTACTGCAGTTATACATTTTTAAGTACTATTTTGCATA